ATAGTACATAGTACTTCACTTGTGAAGCACTTCACTGCAACAATGGAATGACAAAGGATACACGCACATGTTTCTTCTTTTGTCACCAGGTGCGGAGCACCGGCGGCCCCCAACCCCAGTCGCAGATTGAGTACAGCATGGGTGATTTGCAGATTGCCAGCATCGCCACCAGCGGGCTCCTGAAAGCGTTGGCGCTGGGCCACAGCCGAGTCACGGGCAGGGCCATCGGGTACGACCCGGAGACAGGCTCCACTGTGGTGTACTCTCAGGTAGATGAGAACATGGGGGTGGGACTCACCAGAAATTCGGGATGGAATTGGGGGTGATGCAGAGGTTCATGCCAGTTCGACGACCTATTTGCTTCTGACATGTCTGAGGCGACGGTGCCAACATCGTTGGTGTTGCTGGAATCTCCGGGGGGGGGATACTCATCACCAGCAAACTGATAAACGATGGAAGGGGCCATCTGAGATGTTTTTAAACAAATCAGTGATTTTCATCACCGTTTCACTTTTGGGGCATTTTTTTGTTCCTTTGCTTTATCCCGTTGTTACATTTCCATTTGGGGGGGGAGTTTGAGCTCGCACCGCCCAGACTTGAACTCCTCAGGTATGGCCACTGTTGTTTGCAATGAAATCCCAATATTGTGAACACGGATGTCACCAGCAATGAGCTTGTGTTTTTTTGGGGGGGCAACCAAATGCTCTAATCTTGAGCTGCTGTGTAAAGCTGATCTCACAGCCTAGTGAGCAGGGACAGTAGAGCGAGAATCAATGTGAATTGCAGAGGGAGTAACCTGAGGTTGTCCTTGAGGTTTTTAAAGATTCTACTCGATCCGAGAGGATCTCAAGTCAAACCTCCAGTTTGTCCCATTGAAGTTTGCTTCCTTTTCTTTTTAATGGTGAAAGGCCTTACGACCTTTTAATTGAGCATGTGACACTGGCCTCATTATTATGTTTTTAAAAGGCAGTTTACGCGAAGATATCTCTAATCTCGTCTTTCCTCAGGACGTTATCGACGTCTACGTCATACGCCTGACGGGCATTAAGATCCACGCGCCGCTCCTGCGGCTGGAGACGGACACGGAGATGCCGGTGTACGCCATGGGCACCAGCGAGCACGAGACACCCTTCACCTTCGGCAATGTGATGCCGGGCCTGGACTTTTTCTGGACGGTGACCAATCGGGATGTGGTCCGGCTGGAGCCGGTGTTTGAGAAGGTAGGGGGAACAGGAATCTGAGATTTGAAATAAATAATAACAATTTGTCAATGTAATGATGATAGTTCATGGATTTATTGTTAATTCATCAGTGTGGTGATAACACTTCGATGATTTATTGATAAATCATCAATTGATAGTAATCCGTTGATGTGTTGATAATAGGTAACTCATACCTTGATATTAAACCACTGACGTATCGATATTAGTTCACCGTTATGTTGATAGCAGTTCAGCGATGAACTGATTAGATTTCGCTGATAATTGATGAGAGTTCAAAGTACTGATAATCGTAGCGTAATTTTTCAGTACCGCATCTTAACCCTAACCCCCTAGGGACCATTGAAATCCTGCATAACCTTGTTGGGTTGAGCATGGTTAGGTAACCCCCTAGGGACCATTGAAATCCTGCATAACCTTGTTGGGTTGAGCATGGTTAGGTAACCCCCTAGGGACCATTGAAATCCTGCATAACCTTGTTGGGTTCAGCATGGATAGGGTTACCCGAACCCCTTAGGGACCATTGAAATCCTGCATAACCTTGTTGGGTTCAGCATGGTTAGGTAACCCCCTAGGGACCATTGAAATCCTGCATAACTTTGTTGGGTTCAGCATGGATAGGGTTACCCGAACCCCTTAGGGACCATTGAAATCCTGCATAACTTTGTTGGGTTCAGCATGGGTAAGGGATAACATGAACAGTTTGCAGTGAAATTTTCTGCTGCAAAAAATGTGAAGAACGGGCCAATTTCATAGGGAGCAAAAATCAACAGGGGGGTGGATTCTGCCCCCCGGCTCTTTGAGGGTTAAAGCAAATTTTGTGCTTAAGCAGCTCTATGAAATTGGCCCCAGAGTATTCCATGGAACGGAATGTGAGGCCCGTCCAACTTGTTATTGTGAACTAAATTTTTTTACCATTAGGTTGATAGGGCACACACTGTAATATAGTTGGTCAAAGTGTCTGCCACAGTTACTCACAACATTTCTCTTCAACCTGCTTTTAAAGGCACACTCTCGTTGTACTGGTTTGCTTTCTAATGCACTCGTAGGCACTAACCTCATAAAGTACCTTCAGTCAACCTCGACTCCATGGGCTGCTTCAAGGATCGTGGGAACCAACATGGTGCTGCAGGATCGTACCCATGGGAATGAGGTTGCACTGTAGTACGCTGCAGTTGCTGAATGTGTGTTTGAAAAAAGAACACCCACGATATAGAGTCTCTAAGAGTAGTTTAAATTGCTGAAAAAAAAACAGTTTAGCAAGGAACTTGCACACTGTTATGTTCAAGAATAATTTTGGGGCCTTTACTTAAATGTAAGAATATTCCATTATTGAAATATATCCGTTGATGTTCTAAAACGTAGTTTCTAATTGATTTTGCAGCAAGGGGTGTCGAGTAACACCGAGCACAACGTGGCCATGAGAATCCACACCCTGAATCCAGGGGAGACTTCGCTGAAGCTGCAGGCTATCTTCAACCCCAGCATGGCCTCTCAGTCCCGCTACACCAGCATGCTGATTGACGAGATTCAGCTGCAGGTGAGTCATCAGTGATGCCAACACTACGTCCCTGGCTCAGTACAGTCACTCGTGATTAATTGTCCTACGATTCCCACTCTAGGCTGAAAACTCCATAGCTGTTTTCTGGGAAAGTGGCTCCCGTGTGCGCATTAACGAGGCAAATTCTACAACTTTCAACGCTGGTAGCTACCAAAGTTTTCTGCTGTCAAAATTAGCGCTTTGAAGTATGAAAATCAACGGTGGGGAAAGGAAGTAAAAACCAGTAAAATTTCCCACTTCACCCTGGTTTTGTCATGTCGGTTACTAACATACGCCTGGGAGTTTGATCTCCGTGCTTTAATATTGGTGTTCTTGAATGACGTATGACGTCTCTTCATTTTGAGCATGCCCTGTAGGGGAAAAATGCAAAATTTAGGCAAGGGGCAAAGCAGGGTTTTTAACTCAAAGTTTGACTTGACCGTACCTCACATTGCCCTCTTAAAGCTCATGAAACCTTGAGGTCAGCCGCAATTACCTCAAGTTTAATTTTTCGTGCCTCCCACGGCATTACCAAGGGGGAAATCTAATTTAGCGCCCTCTTGCGATTGGATATTGCCAGTCGAACGATAGCGCACGAGTGCGCATGTGTAATAGACAGGGATGTGATCACGATTCCGGTTATAAGGGATGTGAACTACCATGCTCCTTTGGAATCCTGAACTCGGTCAGAGAGGTTCGTGGTCGCACCGTGGAAGGATATTCTCTTTTGTGAGTATGTGAGATTCTGAAAAAAAATTGGAGGGTACTCAACGTTTTGGCTCTGTCCGTTGTCAAGAGATACCCTAGCATGGTGCTACCGCAATCTGCTCTGACTAAATTGCCACCTTCACCAAGAAAACCTTCAACGCTCAGTACTGAACTTGCTTGAAATGTACTTGGCTTTTGGAAAGACTGATGGGCTCAGTGAAGGACCATCGGTGCTGGCTGAAGTTGAATGAGATTGCACCTGACACCACTGAGACACCACATAATAGACCGTTCTCCTCTCTCTCCTTTCGACAGGTGTTTGAGCGACTAGAGCTGATGGCCGGCTGCCACAACCAGCTCCTGGTGACCCCGGACACCCAGGCCCAGCTCCGGACCAACCGGGACGGTTCGGCTCGTATGTCCTATGTGGTCCTGTCCTCGGAATGCACAGACTACCGGCGTGAGCCGCTGATCAGCGTGAGCCGGCAGGGTCTGGTGACGGCCGGGGCCCATACTGGCCAGACCACGGTCCTTGTCACAGCCTACGAGAACTTTGGTGTCAACCAAACCCTAGTGGTCCTGGTCAAGGTAAAAATTGTTTTGGGACGAGGGCTGAGATTATGATGTGTTGGGTGTGGGGTTTCAAAGATAGAAGTTTGATTTGTACTGTACGCTCAGGATTGAGAACTAGTAAATAGTGTTGCAGTTGAGTCCATCACATGTCCTCAAAGTCCATCACATGTCCTCACATGAAAACCATGGGACAAATGCAGGTCCCTCACGAGGCAGCAGAAGTCCTCAAAAACTCATTACACTGTAACCACAAGTCCTTGGAAGTATATCATAAGTCCTCATTAGCCCATCAAAAAACTACAAGTCCTCAC